CCCACGCCAATGTCGTCGGCGGTGACGGGGTCGCCGGCGCGGCTGGTGCCGATGACCATGCGGCCGAGACGCTCGCGCATGTCCTTGAGGTCGCGGCTGAGGGCGAGCACGGCCATGCACTCGGAGGCGACGGCGATGTCGAAGCCGGTGCGGCGGGTGATGCCCTTCTCGGTAGCCGCCTGGCCGACGGTGATGTCGCGCAGGTAGCGGTCGTTGGTGTCGGTAACACGCCTCCAGGTGACCGTCTCGGGGTCAATGTCGAGGCGGGCGAAGCGAGCCTTCTCCTCGTCGGTGAGGTCGTCGGGGTTGGTCTTGTCGATGCCGAGCTTCTTGAGCCTGCGGAACATGATGGGGGCAAACGTGCGCACGCCCTTCTTCTTGGGGCACAGACGGTCGAAGAGCGCGGCGTCCTTCTGGGTGGCCTCGTGGAACATGCGCGTGTCGATGGCGGCGGCGAGCAGGTTGTTGGCAGCCTGGACGGCGTGGTTGTCACCGGTGAGGTGGAGGTTGAACTCCTCCATGGGGATGACCTGGGAGTAGCCACCGCCGGCGGCACCGCCCTTGATGCCGAACGTGGGGCCCTGGGAGGGCTGACGCACACAGGCGAAGGCGGGCTTGCCGAGGTGAGCGCCGAGCGCCTGTGCCAGACCGATGGTGGTGGTGGACTTGCCCTCGCCGAGCGGGGTGGGAGTGATGCCTGCGACGACGATGTACTTGCCGTTGTTGCGGTGGGCGAGGCGCTTGAGCACCGAGAGGTCGACCTTTGCCTTGACGGAGCCGTAGGGCTCGAGCTCGGACGAGATGAGGCCGATCTCGCGCGCGACCTGGGTGATGGGCTTGGGGGTCTGGGAGCGGGCGACCTCGATGTCCGAGGGCACCTTGGCGAGCGGGGTGATGGGGTTGGGACGGACGACGCCGCGGCCGATGCCGAGGGCGCGTCCGTCGGCGAGGCTGCGCTCGGCGCTGATCAGCACGTTCTCCATGAGCATGGCGACGGTCATGGGGCCGACACCGCCGGGGACGGGGGTGATGGCCGAGGCGACCTTGGTGGCGGGTTCAAAGTCGACGTCGCCTACGAGGCGGTAGCCGGACTTTTTGGAGGCGTCGTCGACAAAGTTGGTGCCGACGTCGATGACGACGGCGCCCTTCTTGAGCCATTCTGCCTGGATGAAGTGGGGCTTGCCCATGGCGGCGATGACGATGTCGGCCTGGGCGAGGTGGGCGCTGAGGTCGGCGGTCCTGCTGTGGCACTGGGTGACGGTGCAGTCCCTGGCGCGGAGGAGGGAGGCGACGGGGTTGCCGACGATGTCGCTGCGACCGATAACGACGGCGCGGAGGCCGGCCATGTTTGTGATGCCGGCGTTCTCGAGGAGCTTGATGCAGCCTGCGGGGGTGCAGGGGAAGAAGAGCGGGTTGCAGGCCTTGGAGGAGAGGTGGCCGATGTTGAGCGCGTGGAAGCCGTCGACGTCCTTCTCGGGGCTGATGGCCTCGGTGACGCGGCGCTCTGCGTCCGAGTTGATGTGGTCGCCGAGGGGCAGCTGGACGAGGATGCCGTCGACGCTGATGTCCTCGTTGAGCTGGCGGACGCGCTGGATGATGTCCTCCTCGCTTGCGCCGTCGGGGAGCTGGACGTGGGTGTAGCGCATGCCACACTCTTCGGCAGCGAGCTTCTTCATCCTGATGTAGGTGGAGGATGCGCTCTGGGAGCCGACCTGCATGATGCAGAGGTGGGGCTGGAAGGAGGAGTGCTGCTGCTTGAGCTCTGCGATGCGCTGGGCGACGCGCGCGCGCACCTCCTTGGCGAGGGCGGTGCCATCGATGAGCTTGGCACCGCCGGGCGTGGTTGCGAGCGAGGCCATGGCGTGGGTGACCAGCGAGCGCGATCGAGGTGCGGAGAGGCGGAGGAGCGAGTTGGAAGGAGCGACGAGCGGAGGAGCCGACGACGAGAGGGAGCGAGCGTGGAGGGAGCCGGACGAGAGCGAGGCCGAGGCGAGAGAGCGGGCGTGGAGGAGGAGGCGGGAGCTTCGCTGCTGGGAGAAGGAAGCGAGATGGATGCAAGCCGAGCGGCGGAGGAGCATGCCAACGACGGTGCGGGACTAAGGCGCGGGTGGAGAGCGAGAGCGAGAAGGAGAGGTGAAGAGCAAGTACGAAGCGTCGATCGGAAGAAGGCGAAGCAGAGCATATCGGCGCTTTCGGCTCACCTTGCTTTGCCCCGTCCGCACTCGCACTCGCACTCGCTCTCGCTCTCGCACTCGACGGACTGCAGCCGGCCGACGTCGAGCGGACTGTTGGCATTCACTGCCGCTCGGCTACTGCAGGATACTCGACTCGAATAAATTTCTTCGCGCCTGTCGAAAGGCGAAAAAGGGAAAAGGGCGAAGGAGGCGCGTCGGATGTCTGTGCGGTCGCCGGTTGGAGCGAAGTTGGCAGACTTGACTCGACCTGCTCTGCTTCCACGCCCGGGGCCGCCCAATGAAAATCCAGCCCTTCAGCGCCGCTCCAAGAAAGGGCTCTATCATACGAGTGGGCAGCGAATCGCACGTTGGCGAAAAAGAAGGCGCATTTGTTAGAGCGCCAACGAGATGCCCCCCCCCC